TTCCTTCCTTCCTTCCTTCCTTCCTTCCTTCCTTCCTTCCTTCCTTCTTTTTTTCTTTGTTTGTTTGTTTGTTTCTTTTTTTAATCAACTTTTTCGGTTTTGGTATTGTGTCTCTCCCCAATTTGAAAGAACAGAAAGGTTTTTTAATTTTTTTAAATTCACACACACACACACACACACACACACACACACACACACTCTCAGACAGACACCATAAACAGATACAACAAGTTGTATTATATATTTGGGCATGTGTGTGCGCGCACACACATAACAACAATAACTGGGGAAGAAGAGACTATCAATTTGAGAGTGTGGGAAAGACATGAAGGCATTAGAGAGAGGGGACCTAGGAAAGACTGGCGGAAGAAGACTTGGCAGGGGCTAGACAGAGGAACATTGCTCCACCAGTTGACCTGTACACACGCTTGTGGAAATTTTCTTATTGATGACTCCTGTGCAATGACCAGTGTGCTGTGGGATGTGCCATCCTGTGGAAGGTGGCCCTAGAGTGAATGAGAAAGAAATCTTAGCAAGCCACGAGGAGCAAATCAGTTAGCAGCATTTCTCTATGGTCTGCGCTCCAGTTTCTGACTGCAGGTTCCTTCTTTGAGTGCCTGCCCTGACTTCTTTCCATGATAAAGTATAAATTGTAAGCTAAATAAACCCTTTCCTCTCACCATTTCTATTGATCATTGTGCTTTATTATGGCAGGAGAAGATGGCTAAGGCATAGGCTTGTCCTAGACTCCTTGTTGAGGAAGCCATCCTTTCTTTACCGAATTAAGATGACCTTTACTATGTCTTAAGTTTCTACATGCATTTGGAATTATTTTCTTTCCATTTTCTCTGAATGGGAGGGGAAGCATGCTACTTTCATTATTGTTGTTTTATATTTTAATTCCTTTTAGATGCCATTTAGCATTCTTCTCATTTTAGATCATTTTCCTGGTCATTCTTTTGTTTAAAAATTAATTTTTAAGAATTCATTCATCAGAGTCTGGAGATATGGCTCTATGGGTAACAGTGTTTCTTGCACAAGCGTGAGGATCTGTGTTGAGGCTCCAACCCCCACAATGCCTACTGCTGCAGTTCAGTGCCCCTGCAACCCAGAGGGGCAGAGACAATAGGACTATTGATACTGGACTGATGGCCACAGTCTAACTCCAAGTCCAGTGACAGAAAGTGTCTTTTTTGATTTTTCAATAATAATTTTACTTATTCTTTAAAATCCTCTTAAGTTATTAGGATATGGGTAGAATACAGCCCGGTTATTTGCCAGAATATCATACCAATTATCCCTAATCCAATTCCCAGTTGTATCTATACTCCACTCTGAACCTGCCAGAGCTGAGCCCCGACTGTCTGCACTTCTCTCTGCATTTTGGTCGTCCAAGCCTAGAAGAAAGGCCCATCAATCTCTGCTTACAGCATTTCAAGATTTCTCTAGCCCGAAGTTCTAAATTCTTCCACATTCTTTTTACTGTCCAGTTGCAAAAGGTCTAAGAACCACATAGGCAGGTTTACCATAGCAACAGGCTCGATCATAGCAACAGACTCACTTCTGGTACCCTTTTGTACTAGTGACTTTATGCATCACTGTGAAAAGAAAACCTAGACAAAAGCAACAGAAGGGAAGAAACAGTTGTTTTGGATCAAAGTTTAAGAGTCCAGTCCATCATGAGAGGGACATCATGATGTAGGGATGTGAAGTCAGCTGATCACATTTCATAAGCAGCCAGGAAACAAAGAGAGAAGAATGCAGCTCTCAGTTCCCTTTCTCCTTTTGATTCTCTGTTGGATGATAGTCAGATGCTCACATTTCGGGTGAGTCTTCCCCTCTTGGATTCCCTAGAACTTAACTCACGGGCAGACAAAAAGGCTTGTTTCCATGGCGATTCTACATCCCATCAAGCTAACTGTCAAGATGAACTGTCCCAGCTGAATTTGCAGTATTCTCTCCTATTTTTGTAGTCTAGGTAGTCATTCTTTGTGAGCAGTATCAGAATTATATTTTAAGTTTATATACATCTATTTTATATAATCTTTTCTGTTAATATACAAGGATATCATCTTCAAATTTTAAATGCTTTTACTGGTTTATTTGTACCAAATAAGACCTCCAGAATAATATAAAATTGGAAGTGTAGACAACTACCTGTTTTTGTTTTATGTAGTAGTTTTATAATGTTAAACCACATCTGTGTTACTGGAGTCTCACCAATAGGCTATTATTTTAATATTTTGCAGGATTAATTTAGCTAATGACTTTTTAAATCATAACAAATGAGTCTGTTTATAATTTTTCTTTTATTAAACTCTGATTTATTTTCATAACAAAATTACTATTGTCTCATAAAATGAGTTGTTAACTTCTGTTTCTGGATTGGAAATTGTTTACAATAAAAGAACGTATTTGCAATAAAACTGTTTACAATAAAAGAACCTTGAAGGTTTGGAAAAATATGTTCCTGAAACATGGTTGTTGCATAAATTTGTTGCATAATTCAATACTTTGGCAATTAGTCTATTGCAAATTCTTAAGGATCGACGTAAGGCTTATAAAGCATGTTGTAAGAAAAAGTACATTTTATTAGAGATGTTTAGAATCATTTACTGAAATGGATTTACTTTTTGTTTGAATGTGGTGAGTTGTGATTATTGATTTTTAAATGTCAAGCTTACCTTGCTTACCTTGAATAAACCCTGTTTGCCAATATTGTACTGCTAACAGGTTGAAAATAATGTGACTTTTTAAAAGAGACTTTCACATAGTATTTTGAGGCAGGTGGGCTTGTACTTTTTGTCTTATTTTTTTCAAGTTTTGCTTTTGTAATTATGTAAATCTCACAACATAGTGAAAAATGCATTTACTCCTGCTGTTTTAAAGTTCATTTAAGACTCTGTGCAGCTTTCTCCTTTGCTCTGCAATAGGCAGAATTGAACACTGTTTGCTTCCAAAGTTTGCGCTGATAGACAATGAATTTAATTTCGCTTTTCTAGGTAAGATCTCATTATGTAGCCTTGGCAGGCCTGGAATTCCCTATGTAGACCAGGCTAGCCTGAAAAGCACAGGCATCCTCCTGTCTCTGCCTTCTGAGTGCTGGGATTAAAGGCATGTTCCTTCACATTTGGTGCTCAATTCTTTTATAAGAGTATTCATATTTTTCTTTTTCACACTCTTTTATTTATACATAGTTCTTTCCCTGGAATTTGCTTATTTAATAAATTTCAGTTATCATATTTTCTGCCAAAAGTCATTATTAACACTACTTTATAATTTATTATTGATGTCCATTTTTGTACAGATTTGGAAACTTCTAATAGAACACATATTTTCAGAAATTATTTTTATACTTATTTTTCATTGAAATAAACAGCTTTAATTTTAGTGTAGTTTTTCTTTTGGGAGGATGTTGAGACCAAATCTCACCATAGAGCCTAGGATGGATGTAACTCATAATCCTCCTGCTTCAGCCTCCCAATTACTGTGGGTAGAGTTGGGTACTATCATATCTGTCTTTTAGCACAATTCTTATTTATCAAAAGTATGCAAAAATTGTTAGAGTTCTCATCCGTCACTACTCTGTTTTTTTGTTGTTAGCAAATTAAAGTATTCTGATGGATTATTTCAGCATTAGTTCATCTTTATTGCCCACTCCTTACACTTTCCAGAACTTCACCCAGAAGTTCATCACTCTGTCCTTAGCCTCCTCGGACCTGTGACATTTTCAGTTATGACCTCCAAAACCTGAGGTCATGTTGGTGGTGGCTTCTACACTGGGTTTATTTTCCATCTCACAATTAGCATGTCCCCCAAATTATCTGTGATTAGTTGCATCACCTGGCTGAGATCTCACCTGTCAGGGTCTTCAATGTCAAGTTGCTTTTTCATATTTCCCCATACCTATATTCACTGGAAATAAGTCATTAACTGAATCCCATATTTAAGAGATGGGGCATTATTTTTATTGCAGGGAGAGGGGGCAATGCCTACCTAAACTATTTGGAATTCTCAATAGAGAATTTGTTTCTTTTTTTTTTTTTTTTTGCCAGGCTGTGACTGTTTATTAACTGACCAGATTACAAAAATACCATAGGCAATACCTTAGTTCATCCGTCTAATAAGCCTGTTTATCTGGTCTTCCCTGTTGCCAGCATCTCCACCTTCCACAAAATGAGTTGTCTTTTTCTTCATTCCACCTCGTGGAGAAGATAATTTGAAGGGCCACAGGAAGTTATTCGCTTCCTTGAAGCGTTTTCCAACTGTGTAGATCTCATGAATTAGATCCTCCATGCAGATGATGCCATATTTACCAAGAGATCGAGCAATCAAGGAATTATCTGTCAAGGCAATTCTCTTCTTATGAATTTTGCCATAGCCGCGTTTGTAGATGAGCTCATTTACTGACTTCAGATTGGGGTACCCCCATGCAATGTATGGTTCCACAATCCTCAGCATGTTAATTGAAGCCTTGTTGAGCTTATCAATAGAGAATTTGTTTCTTTGATGGGAAATTGTTTACTGAGTTATTCATCGGTCCTGTTTTTCTTTATTTTATAAACAATTTTGGGGGCTTGGGAGATGGCTCAGTGGTTAGGAGCTCCTGTTGCTCTTCCAGTGAATTTCAGTTTCATTCCCTGCACCCCTGTCAGGCTCCTCAAAACCACCAGCTTCAAGACATAAACTCTCTTCTGGCCACCGTGGGTGCATGCACATAACATATACATGCAATTAAGAATAAAAATAATAAATCTTGAAAATAAAAATATATGACTATTGGAGTAGTTTGAATACTAGTGGCCCCCATAGGCTTAGATATTTGCATGCTTGTTTCCAGTGGTGAAATATTCGGGGGGATTAAAGGGTGTGATCTTATTGGTGATGATAATGCACTAAGTCTCTGAAATTGTAAGCAAGCCCCCAGTTAAGTGCTTTCCTTTATGAGTTGCCTTGGTCATCACGTCTGTTCCCAGCAATAGAACACCGACTAAGACAATTATATTGCCATTGGGTAACATGGTCAAATGTTCTCTATTTGTGTATTATGGTTACAATGGTGGAAAGGAGTTCATGGACTATAAATATTTTTGAAAATGTTCTGTGAACATTTCAAATGATCATATATTACCTTTTTCTTATTATATGAAATTTATTGTTAATTAAATATTTCTTTTGACCTGGTGTGTTATCTTATTAATTGATTAGTTATTCATAAAGTATGTAATGTGTCAACACAAAAATATTTGTGATTTTTAAAAACTATTTTCACATTATCCTTTATATGTTTTCATTTTGTATTATTAGGAGCGTGTTTCTTCCTGCAAGCTTTTATATGCAGTGTAAATTCAGTGACTATGAAGCTCAAGTTTATTTAATAACTTCTGCCTTAAGTTCTACATTGTCTAATATTTTCTCTGCCAGTCATTCTTTCTTTTCTCAAATATCTGATGTTTAATTTCTTTTCCTAATTCACACATAAAGATGAAGCTGATTAATAAATGTCTATGGCTTATGTCCCCTTAGCAGTTTTGCTTGCTTATTTAAGCCCACTCCTTGTAACTAATCTGTCCAAGAATATAGATTATTTTCTCCTTGACTTGTATGAACGGGGGATAAGTAGTAATGTCCTCTACTTTTATCAACTTCATTTAGCCTGGGTAAATTGGCAAGCAATTAGTGTCCCAGCTACAGGGAAGCTGAGGCAGGAGAGTAGTGAATTTGAGTCCAGTCTGGTGAACATATGACCTTGTCATTCACACAGAAAAAAATGTCTCTGCTCTGAGAATAGAATGATTTATTAAAATAGTAACAATGAACAATGGAAAAGGCAAAACACTGGGAGGATGCTTTAAATAAATGAGCCATTACTCTTGTGAGGTAGCTACTATTATTTGACATTTTAGGTAATGAAATAGTTACAAAGAGTTGCTGCCACTTACTTAAGAAGTGTCAAAGCTGGGGGGCTATAAGTAGGAACACCACTGGTTATTCAGGCTGTGAAGACCATGCTCTGAGCCACTGTAACACTTGGTGACTGTTATTCAAAGAGAGAATAAAAAGTTCTTTTCAGTGTTGCATGTGTATGACATTATCTCAGTTCAGTTCCATCCCATTTCCAGGACTCACGCTGTTCAATTACTTCTCCTCTGTTTATTTCCCTAGTCTTGGCACTATCGTAAGACTTCCTGCTTTGCTTAGAGTAGAATTATTCAAATTCTCTACAGAAGTGAGCTGTTTTGGAGCTGTTCTGTCCACCCAGGAAGCAAGCCGTTACTCCCGTGCTACTAGAAGGGACAGCACAGGTTCAGAGCTGTTTCTCAGGATGTGTGACATGGGCGTATATTACAAGCAGCCTCCTTGCAGGCACTGGCCCAACCATTAGTTACTCTAGCATCGTCTCGGGTCATCTGCAGCTCACTCTCAGCTTAGGGTGTCTGTGTGCCATCATTGGGAAATGTGGCCTTGGAGTGTCCCCTCTTTTGTCTTTCTTGGATTGTGTTTTATTTCGGCAGGTATTCTATATTTCCCATTCTATGTGCTCTCCGCTTTTGAAAAAAACCACTCCAAAGTTTAGCTCCCTGATGGAATACGTTTCTGTTTTCTAGTAGTGGTCAGAGTTTCAACAGCATATGTTTGGGGGTTCAAGAAATAGTTTAGCAGTTCAAAGCTTGTACTTTTTTATTTTTTTATTATCTACAAGACTTTTATTTATTTATTTGTTTGTTTATTAAAAATTTCCACCTCTTCCCCTCCTCCCATTTCCTTCCCACTTCCCCCACTCCCCTCCCTCTCCCTCTCCAGTCCTAAGAGCAGTCAGGGTTCCTTGCCCTGTGGGAAGTCCACGGTCCTCCCCACTCCATCCAGGTCTAGGAAGGTGAGCATCAAACAGACTAGGCTCCCACAAAGCCAGTCCATGCAGTAGAATCAAAACCCCGTGCCATTGTCCTTGGCTTCTCAGCCAGCCCTCATTGTCTTCCACATTTAGAGAGTCCGGTTTGATCACATGCTCCATCACTCCCAGTCTAGCTGGCCTTGGTGAGCTCCCATTAGATCAGTCCCACCATTACAGTGGGTGGGCGCACCCTTCGTGGTCCTGACTTCCTTGCTCATGTTCTCCCTCCTTCTGCTCCTCATTTGGACCTTGGGAGCTCAGTATTCTTCTTTCAAAGGACCCAAGGTCCAAGTTCAGTACCCAGTACTCTTGTTAGGTGGCTCACAACTGCCTGAAATCTAGGCATCCAATGATTGCTCCAGGAGCATTCAATGATTCTGACACCCCATGAATACCTGTACTTGTGTACTTGTATACACACACACACACACACACACACACAATAATAATAATAAACAAAAACATCTTAAAAAACAAAAGTGCTTTTTATTTCAATAAGATTTTAGCAGGAAAAAGGGGCATGGATGTGTAATTGTTTTATCTTGCTCTGTCAGAACGTTAATGCATTTCCAACATTTTCGCATTATATATAATGAGTGCATAAAGAATTGATGTGGGCAGATAGTTCATCTGTCAAAGGCTGGGCTCACAATCAAAATGTCAAGAAATGGTATAGAAAGTGAACCTTGTCTTTTCTAGAACTATTCAGAAAATATTCTTCTTATCTAATATTTAGGAATGGAAGAAGTGATTCTTGCAAAAGTTATTATCATAAATCACTTGGATTACCTGAAGAGGAACTTCATAGGCAAATTTTGTGTATACACTGCTTTTTATTTGGTTCTGAAAATTCTGTCTTAGTCTTCCTCTTCTTTAAGAATACCTTCCATATTAGTTTCTTTTCTCAGTGCTGTGAAAACTCATGGACAGAAAGTCACTTGAGGGAAAAAAAAACAGATGTATTTTGTCTTACAACTTAAGAACAGAAATAGTCCAACCTAGCTGGTCAGTGTGGCGTGGTGGGTGAGCGAGGCTGTGGTCACATTACATGCACACTCAGGGAGCAGTGAGAGGTGAATATATGAATGTTGGCTCTCATGTTCCATTTTTTTTCTACTTCTTCATTCTGGTCACCCAATCCTTGGGATGATGCCTTAGGGTATGTCATGCCCCTATAGCTAAACCTCTCTGGGAACATCATCACAGGTACACTCAGAGGTATTTCTCCTAGTTAATCCCCATTCCATTCAACCTGACAATGAGTACCACACCTTCTTCACCTCCTTCTGCTTTGCTCTTTCCTTTCCTTGGCTACTACAGAAGGTCAGAAGTTTAGCTGTTCCTGGGATCAGACTTTTTCTATATAGTTTTTTGGTTGATGTAAACACATCGTTTATCTGAAGATTAGTTGACAAATTTTTGTGTGTATGTGTTTTTGTATGTGTGCATACATGTATATGTGTATGTGTATGCCTGTGTATGTGTGTGTGTGTGTGTGTGTGTGCCCGTGTATGTCTGTGTGTGCATTTGGAAGCCAGAGCTTGATGTGGGGTGTCTTCCTCATTTTCACAGAATCTCTCATTGAATCTTGAACTCACCAATGGTGGTAGAAAGTGCCACCAGTCCCAGGGAGTCTCCTGTTTTATCTCTTTAGCATTGGAATTACAGGGATGAGCCACTGTGTCCAGCCTTTTTGTCCATTTATTTATTTATTTGACATTTTTTAAATTGAGTTTTTGGGGACTTTGCATCATTCACCCAAATCCCACTCATTTGTCAGTTTCTATGTATTCTCCCTTCACCCTTGTTGTGTACCGCAACAAGATAAAAATATTAAATAAACAATATCCCCTAACCCAAAATAACAACAACAACAAAAGCAAAACAAAAGAGGGCAAACAAACAAATAAACCAAAAAAAAAACCCACTTCACTCCTCTGTCTTTCCGAAATCTGTATCGCATCTTTGTTCATCTTAGTGGCATTGGGAGGTATGGTCATTCAGTAGACCCTTTTGTCCAGACAGCTTTACTTGCAAATATTTGTTGTACATTGAGTTGTTAGTTAGGTTCAAGGCTTCTGGTATACCACAATACTGACTCCTCACCAAAACCCCTCTCAGAGTTTGCTGCTGTGTCTTGAGTCATGGAGATCATATGATTATGACACTGCAGGACCAGTCTCTTCATGGTCTCCACCATGTCATAGATGGGGTAGATGCTCCACAGGTCTGGGTGTGTGCCTGGGTAGAAGCTGAGTTGGTCATTCTGGGAAGCTGGGAACACCCTTTTCGGACAAGGGGCATAGCCAGCTCTCCCATGTCCATGGTGAGAGATGGGACCAACTTTCCCAAGGCATCACAGCTCTCCTTTGAGGGGCAGGGTCAGCTCTCCCAGGGCCAATGGGAGAGGAGTGGAGCTGGCTCAGCATGTCCCCAGACTTCAACACACTTGGTTGACCACAGGGTCCCCTGTGTTCATACGGATTGTGGACATCAACACAGACCTCAGCTGTAGCAGGACCACAGACCCATGGTCCTCAGCAGCAGCCCAGGTGTCACCATGATCCTGGCTAACAGTGCAGGCCACTCAGATTTCCATTTTTAATATTATCTTTTGCCTAGTTATAATGGCACTACCTGCCACTATTGTGTGGGCTGCTTCCAGATGTGCTATTATAGGAGCATTGGTAATATCTGGAGCATCTGTATGTAGGCTATGAGACTGTGTCACAGACAATTCCATACTGTGTCTTGATTTTAAGGCATCTTCATGTGGGGAAATTGGGTGTTAATAAAGCTTTGAACATTTATTCAATGTGCACAGGGCCATGGTTGCATTATTCCTGATATGGGCAGAAGCTAGCAGCTCTGTTTTTGAATTGTAGTGCAGCAGTGGAGACTTTTAAGGATGCGATGTGAGCACAGTCAGTATTGCTTTAGCTCTGCACAAAAATATTGTAGTGAACTCGACTTCACTGCAAAGGCACCTGGTGGGAAACACCAGTGCTTCTATTTTCTAATGTCAAGGAACTTGATGTCAGGAAGTAAAATGATCCCAGTAACATATCCTGAAAAACGTGGGTACAGAATTTGGTCTATTTAAGAAGTTGCTATAAGACTTTAAAGCGCTAGCTTGTATCAACTTGTACTTTTTCTTCTTACCATGATGGGGTATGCATCATCATGAAACATATTTTTATCTGAACTCTGACATTGTGTAGCAACAGATAATGTTAATATTTGGGATGATATTTTTTCAATATGCACTTGTGTCTACACATAAGTATCTGCATACTTTTCTAAAACTATTATTCTAATATATAATATGAGCTTTTTACAATGTCATACTAATGATCACAGTTCTCTTATGAACACACGTACTGTAATTCAACTGGTTACAGAATAGTAAATAATGATACTATGAGACTTACATCCTTTTGCACAAAGCAGTTCAGGCCGCATCAATCTTCAAATTCTTGTACCTGAACATAAGTGAAATATGATTGTCAAAAATATGTCTGAATTTGATGGCCATTAAAGGGAGAGAAACTTACTTTGTTCAGAGTGGGGTGTGATTGTATTTGATGCAGGCAGGGTCCTAAGTGACTAGTAGGTATCTAGGTACAGTTTTCAAAGAAAGTCGTATGTGCATAGTACAAGAAGACGAAAGCCCTAGGCTGTCAAGCACATCATTAGAAGAGGGTTGTGTGCATAGCACATACTAAGTGGAGCTCCAGGTTGCTTAACTATTCCTATGCTTGTCTGACTCATTATGATAGGTACTGTGAATTCTATCTCAACTTCAAGCTGGAGGAAGACTTCTCTCTGTAGCTGTCACTGATAGAACTCAGAGTTGCAAAGATAAAAAAATCTGCTACTATGTCATTTTATTTCTTTAACCACCTTATTTTGCGTCACTTGAATCTTCAGTTTCCGTAACTGTAAAATGGATATCAACAGAATTGTTGGGAAAGTTAAATATAAAATACAAGGTTCTCGATAGTGCCAGAAACTAGAAATTACTCATCAAACATTGTCACCATCTAATTGCTAGAATAACTAATCTTCTAAATTTAATTATATGCTTCTAGGTCATAAGGTGACATGTCACAGCAGGAGTTGTCTGAAGATTTTGCCTATGTAGTAATTGAGATTGCAATTATTTTTTAAGATGAATGTTTTTATTTTTAATTATGTATATTTGTGTGTATCTGTGTGTGAGTATGTGTATTTGAGTGCAAGTAACCATAGGAACCAGAAGAGGTCACTGAATTCCCTGGAACTGGAGTTATAGGCAGTTGTGAGCTATTTAACTTAGTGCTAGGAACTGAATCTGGGTTCCATGTAAGAGCAGTACCCATTTAACCATCAAACCATCTCTCCAGCCCAAGGATTATGATTCTTTAGGCATAGACTCTTCCTCTTTTGCCTTCCCCTTCTCTCTATTCTCCCACCCTCCCCTTTCCCTTCTTTCCTTTCTTCTCCCCTCCTCCTCACTCCTCCTCACTCTTTCCTTCCCTCCTATCCATGCCACCATGCCTGGCTAGAGGTATCAGCTTCATAACTGGATATGAGACACCATCATAATAAATATTTGAGTTATATGGGACAGTGTCTCACTTCTAAAAATACTAGAAGCTTGATTTTCTGTGTTTATGAAATCTTGCCATCTTTCATTTTAAACTATATTTGGCACTCCTTGTCATGTATTTAGTCAAAGGGCATAATACTTGCAGTTTAAAAATTAAGAAAACTCTATCAGAACTTCATGTCCCTAGCTATTTTTCTGCTGAGTTATGAGAGAGACTACCTACCTAGAAGTTAATTTTTTAAAAAATAATTTTTATTTATCTTCCTTGTTTCTATGGTTTGTAATAGAGAAGTGCAGATGTTAATCCCATTGCCTGTCACAATCCTCTTGATTCAATGTGTATCATTTTTGAATCATTGTGCATGGAGTCCCATCATTCTTATGTGGTGCGGGAGAATTGTCTGTATTCTGTCAATCATGTATTTTAATAAAACGCTGATTGGCCAGGCAGGAAGTATAGGCGGGTCAACCAGACAGGAAGTAGAGGCGGGGCAATGAGAATAGGAGAAGGCTAGGGAGGACGAAGCTGCCTCTGCCACTCCTGCGCAGACCACTGAAGCAGCAACATTTGAGCTGACAACTGAAAAAGGTACCAAGCCTCATGGCTAACATAGACAAGAATTATGGGTTACCGTAAGATGTAAGAATTAGTTAATAAGAAGACTGAGCTAATGGGCCAATCAGTTATAATCTTATGGAGTCCTGTGTATAATTTCCTTTGGGACTTGCGGGTTGTGGGGTATTGGGCGGGACAGAAACCCCAACAAGCCGGCCTTCATGTAACACTTATGGCTTCCTGAACCACAGCAGAAGTATTTAAGAGTTCCCTCCCAGGCTTTCAAGACTGGTTGAAACAGTGGAAGAGATGGGCATCTGTGCACATTGCCAGTGGTAGCAGGGAAGACTTTATTTCTTCTGCTTTGGAAAAGAAGCATGAGATACAAGACGCTGTCTGTTTTGAGAAGTCTAAGCTAGGTAGCAGGAGACAGAATGTCTAATTAACTCCCTTCTCTCACCCTCCCTTCTACTAGTGCTGCAAATAAGGACGCCTAGAGCTGTAGAGACATGGCACAGGTTGGAGACAGATGATACACTGTCAGAGGTTAGAAGCTGTCTGTCTATAAGTTGTGTATATAAGTGCACATGTATGTATGCATAAGCACTCACATTTGAGAAAAAACAACATCTGAGGGACCATTTTATTTTTATTTAATTTTTATAAGGTCTCATTTACCCTAAGCTGGTCTGGAACTCACAGTGTGGCCAATAATGACTCTGAACTTCTAATTTTCCTTCCTGAATCCACTTTGTACCACCATGCATGCAATTAACTACTTACTTTCAACACTTTCCATTTTATGTTTTTGAAAACAAAAACAGGGAGAAGACATTATCTTGCACCTTTTATTTTAACAACTTTGACATAATAAGTTAGGGTCTTGTTTTATCTCATGGGGACCCTTGCTCTGGGGTGGAGGTAGGGGCTGGCTACTTGAGTGCCCCAGGCACCAGGTGATTAACATTTTACAAGCACTTTCAGGAATTTTTACAGATGTAAAGGGAAAGAAGTACATATTTTCCTTTTGCATATGAGATTCATATGCAAATGAACATGATTATATTGTTTTCCAAGTTGCTGTTTTCCACTTTGCAACATAATTGATGTCTTTCCTATGTCATCCTATGTTAATGAATGCGCTCTCTCTACAGACTTTACAGCTCTCCACAGTATGGATTTACTGTAATTAATTTAGCTGCCTTCTTATTTAGTGCTGTGATATCTTTGCAAGTGTCTTCGAACATTCATCTAGAGTTTAATAAACATTTACTAGACATAGAATTACTGTTTTAGAATGTACACATATTTAAAAGTTAACCCCCCCACAGAGTACATAATTTGTCCTCCCACTAAGAGATATTTTCCTGTTATTTTAAAAATTTCTCCCCAGATTCACATATTATGCTAAGTTCTAGGAGTAAAAGTAGTGTTTCATTTTGTCTTAATTTGTTTTCCTTGAAGAATAAGTGTGATTGAACCGCTCTCCATCAGCCTCTTTTAGACACACAGTCCAGGCCTCCGATCAGGTAGCTTTGTAAACATTACCCAAAGGGCTCTTTCCCCAACACTCCTCGCATCTTGGCATCTCTGGTGTGATGCTTGGGATGCTTGGGATTGCCAAGGAAACCATGATAGAGGCTTTGGGAGTACTGGTTTAAAGTAAGTTTAACTGTAGCACCAAGCTCAGGGATTGCCATGCAAGCACTAGACTGTTCATCCGAGGCCCTCATCATGCAAGTTCAATAGAAGCAATAGAATAACAGTCTATGGCACAGTCCTTGGCTATTTTGTTGTACTGCTGGGGAAGATGGGGTTCTCACTGCGGGTTCTTAGTCTTGTTAACAAAACGATTAAAAAAAAAGGACTCTGCAAAAAAATAAAAAAGCTGCAGGGCATTTATTTATTTATTTATTTATTTCAGCCCAACTGTTTTCCCTTCCTCTTCTCTCAGTTCCTCCCCCACCCACTCCTCTTCCTCTGTTTCTTTAAAGAAAAGGTCAGGCCTCCCATGCATATCAACCAGCCATGGTATATCAAGTTGCAGTGGGACTAGGCACCCCATCATCTGTTATGGCTGAGTGAAGCAAGCCAGTAGGAGGAAGGGATGTTAACGGCAGGCAGCAGAGTTGGAGACATCCCTTACTCCCACTGTTAGGAGTCCCACAAGCTACACAATGGTCACATATAAGCAGAGGGCCTAGCTAGGTCACTTACACGCAGGCTCTCTGGTTGTCAGTTTAATGAGCCCCTATGAGGCCAGGCTTGTTGATTCTGTGGGCTTTCTTGTGGTGTCATTGACCTCTCTGGCTCCTACAATTCTTCCTCCCCCCTCTTTCATAGAGTTCTCTGAAGTTGGCCTAATGTTGGGCTGTGGGTCTCTGCATCTGTTTCCAGGATATGGCTTTTAGAGTTGGAGAAAAAAAAAAACCCAAAAATCAGGGCAGGAAAACTGTTTATCTTGGTAGTTGCCAGAAGGAGAGAGATGGAGAAGAGGAGGAGAGAAATCTAGGCACTGCGAATTAGGGTAGCATGGTCAGCAATGGGGGTCAGCAAGTGACATGGCAGCAAGCTGTTACCCAGAGGCAGGCAAGTAGCTTCAGAGAAGGAATGAGGAAGCTGAAGAGCCAGAGAAAACACAATTGGGTGTTGGCCAGTATCTGAAAGAAAAAGAATTTTAAAAGAAATTGTTACTTTTTTGGGGGTGGGGAGATAAGACTCAGAAAAACACCAAGACTTAACAGAGTTGCAGGGTCCAAGTTCTGTAAGCAACTGTATGAAGGGTGGTAAGCATTCTGAGAAAGAAAAAGAAGCACATTATTTAATGAAAGGTATAATTATTCTTCCCATTCCTTCAACATAGCTTTAGGTTAATCAGCTTTCCTGGAGGTGATCTTTTGGCCAGGAGACTGACAGACCCACCTGGATTGACTCCTAAGGGAGGAGACAATGGAAAGCAATGTTCTAATCATCAGAGCAGATCTTGTTTTCACTAAGGACTAGAAGTAGATTCCATTAGGGAGGTGATCATCCTCAAGGGTCTGGAAGCCTTCTGTAACATTTCCCTGTCAAGGTGTTAGGACGCTCAAATTATTTGGAAGATGGGGTAAATTTGGGGACTATATAAGACCTATTTTTCATCATGAAAATTCTGAGATCCAGTTCCAAAGATGTTCACTAGAAAAGAAAGGGTCAGTGTTTGGACAGGAGATTCAGTGAGAAGCTCACACGTAGACCAGAACACTCTTCTCCCATTGTTGGCCTCAGCAAAGCCATTCCTGAAACTGTGGTTTTCAGGGTCCCCGCCTCAATCTATATAGGAGCTTGTTTCTCCTGTCTACATAATTTGGCTGTGGAATGAATGATGCCCCCTTTCTTTTCTGCTGGATTTCGCTTTTGGAAAATGATTCATCAGTCTGATTTCATCTTAATACCATCAGGTATAGGTGTTTTGGACTACCGGATTTATAACACTTGGAAATGTAGATCAAATGTATTTAACATCTTAGCCTTGAATTCGATCAGCCATCAACTTCTACGGAAGGGATGCATCCAGCTGTCTATTGTATTAGCTATCCTTTACACTGGTGGCTCTATTTCCTGAGGCTTTAGTTTGTATTGGGTTGAGAAAAGCTTATAGCCGGAGATGAGGAAAAATGTCAATTTTCAGAGGCATGGGCAATAAAAATGTGATTGGTTATCTGTATGGTTGGAGAGAGGTACGAAGAAGATTGAAGTGGTACTCATGTGTCGTCGCCCGGATCTGGCACATGTGCTGTGATTGTGGCTTTAAAATTTAGCACTGTTTTCCATGAAGTTGAGCTAACCTGACTCGTTTATATTCTCTGTGCACTTCTTGTTTCACTCTTTCATCAGATCCGACTCTTAAAATTCACCACACGGCCTCCACAAACCAGGACAAGTTCTGAACCGTTACCGCCTTTGCTAAATTTAGAGAGTCCACATTTTCTCTTACTTTCCTCTGATACATACATTATGTCTTATCATCTCCCACACACTTTTCCTCTTTCAAAGACATTCCCAAGTTCACTATTATATGTTTGGAAAGTGAGCTAATTTTCAGGTAATAAAATTCTGGTATTCTCCACGCTTCAGGAGAAAGACAAAGAATAATAATATTGGAAAACCTCATAGGATCATTTCCCCCACATCTTTCTAAAATTCCCAGATACATAATTATTGCTTGCTGTGGACTCTCTAGAATCATCTATATTTTAAAATTATATAGGTTGGAAGTAATATTATTTGCTGAATGTAGGACAGAATTAAACAAGTCTTTGTAAGTTATTCTAAAATTCATAATCTATTCTGTGAAAGGTAAAGAATTTGATGATTAAGCTTGTACAAAAGTATTTTTCTATATAAATATTTTATACTGGAATTTTTCCTATGATTTATGGTTTTGAGAAATATAGTAGTCTTAGTTAAAATACAAGATCTCTACTTCCCTGCTCCCATATCCACCCTTCCTTCATCCTAACCATCCCATTCCCCCAAGCTCTCCCCAATCCTCCGCTTCTCCCTTCTCCCTCCCCATCTCCCTTTACACCCACTTACCTTAATTAAGGGAGCCATTTTAGGGTTGGCAAGAGACTTTACTCTTGAAGGGTTTCCAGGTCCAAGGAGATGTCCCAGCTTGTTCCTTGGGCAGCAGTGGAGAGGGTGCCTGAACTGGCCTTGTCCCATAGACACACTGATGAATATCTTTCATATCACCATAGAACCTTCATCTGGTGATGGATGGAGATAGAGATAGAGACCAACACTGGAGCACTGGACTTAGCTCCCAAGGTCCAAATGAGGAGCAGAAGGAGGGAGAACATGAGCAAGGAAGTTAGGTCTGTGAGGGGTGTGTCCACCCACTGAGATGGTGGGACTGATCTAATGGGCGAACTCACCCCGGCCAGCTGGACTGGGACTGATGGAGCATGTGATCAAACCGGACTCTCTGAATGTGGCTGTCAATGAGGGCTGACTGAGAAGCCAAGGACAATGGCACTGGGTTTTGATTCTACTACAGGGACTGGCTTTGTGGGAGCCTAGTTTGTTTAGATGTTCACCTTCCTAGACCTGGATGGAGCGGGGAGGACCTTGGACTTCCCATGGGGCAGGGAACCCTGACTGCTCTTAGGACTGGAGAGGGAGGAGGAGGGGGAGTGGTGGGAGTGAAAGGGAAATGGGAGGTTGGGAGGAGGTGGAAATTTTTAATAAAATATTAAAATACAAGATCTCCTGAGAAAATTGGGAACATGGGGACCTTGGGGGAGGGTTGAAGGAGAGGGGAGAGGCTGGGAGGGGAGCAGAGAAAAATGTAGATCTCAATAAAAATCAATTAAAAAAAGATGGAGAATGTAAGATGGAGTTGAGTACTGAGAGGAAAAATAAAGGCTAATGAGAAGGAAAAAAAAATCTACTGATTTGGGAATTTCTGAGCTTTTAGGATAAACACGCATGAATCTTATGATAGTCTTTGTAGTACATCTACTCTGGTCAAATGAAATTGTTTACTTCAGAAGTTATTGCAAAAGAAAACTAAAAAGAGCCCGAAGAGGTGGCTCAGTCTCTAAATTGCTTCCTATGCAAGCATAAGTTAGATTCTCCAAACTACACAAAATCTGGGTGTAAACTTGCAATCCAAGTGATGGGGAAGCAGGATAGACTCATACGAATCACTGGCAAATGCCAAAGGCATACTCATTCTGTCCTGCGTAATTAAGAGCTTATTAGAATAAGAAAGATTTTTTGTTTTTTTTTTTAAAGAGAAGTAAATTATTCTTCCAAAGGTCATAAGATTACTGAATGATTGATAAATCTTGCTTGAGAGATACTCTCCCAGCTAGGAGACTTTATGTAGTTTATCTTATTCATTCTGATTTTACTGAAGTCATACTATGTGTATGTTACTAGGTACCCAGTTTGGGGTAGCTGTGCTAAAGTGTTTCTCTTAGTGTATGGTAAAAAAAATCAGTAAAGCATGTTGCTTTAAATATAAGATGTAAAGCTTAAGGATAGGAGGATATGGAGGGACATTCATGTAAGCAATAAGTGAGGGCATAGAGAGGAACAGGAAGTAGTTACTAAGGTATGGGAGACTCAGTACTAACTGCTAGTTACAGTGTGACCTGCCTCATTAGCTAAGGACTTGACTTCCAATAGTAGATGTTATGTGTGTCCAGTGCCAGTTCTCATCTCTCCCCCATTTTACTATGGTATAACTTGAAGGTGGAAAGCAATGTTCTGTGGGTTATAATTCCTCCCTTGTGCCACAGTACTTTTCCATGTGTGTGTGTTTGAGCCAATTATCACAAGAATTCCTCTGCACAGGCAGTAGCTTACACACAAACTTTCTAGTCCATCTGAACAGGAAACCATGAGAGAAGTTTTTTTCTTTTAGATTTTCCTCTCACTATTTTCCTCTTTTTTCTTTCTTTCTCTCTCTCTCTCTTTCTTTCTTTCTTTTCTTTCTTTCTTTCTTTCTTTCTTTCTTTCTTCCTATCTTAACAATTGGTTAAGTGATATGTTTACTCTTGTAATTATCTCTTATAACAGGTTATTTTAAAAATTTAGGTAAGACCTAGCTAGGACAGAAGCAGAAAAGTTTATGATTAGATTGCTGTTGTTGATAAAGTTTTATTGGAACATAGCCATACTCACAGTTTACTTGTTGTCTGTTACTGCTGCTTCACTAAAATAGCAGAGTAGTGTCATTGTC